GGCTGGAAGTGGGTGAGGGCACAGGGAGACCCTTCTCCATTCACAGACAAATGGGTGGTTTGGACACCCTGCATTGGCTCCTCTTGCACAACTATCCCTTAAGCTGAGAAAGACATCCCTGGCTGCCCTGCCACCAGTGACCATCAAACCTTGTAGTACTCTGTGTCAGCCAACAAATGCCCAGGAAGGCAGGTTGTCCGGGAGTGTCATCAGCCCCACAAGCTCTTGAGGAAGGGCGTTCCTCTTGCTATGGCCAGAGCTCCTGTGGGGTGGTGGGGTGACGTGTGTGGGGCTCTGGAAGATAATTTTCTTGCAGAATAGCAGGAGTGGTAATGCAGGAAAAAGCCTTTGAGATAACCTCTCCCCTCCACCACCCACTCCAGGGGCCACGGCCTGGAGGCATCACCAGGGAAAAGTCACCCATGCTGCTGAATGTATCAAGGTTGGAAATTGGAGCTAAGGGTGTTGGAGCTGAGGGTGGTCAGCACAGAAGTGGGGACAGTGAAACAGTTTATTTCTGAAGGAGATGAAATTGATCTGATACAGAGCATGCAAGAGAAGGTGAAGATCAGCAAGGACGAGGGTACTGGGTGCGCTTCTCAAGAGTGCTGAAGGCAGGTGCAGAGCTCTTGACTGCTGCATTGGTTTCCCCAGAGGATTTGTGCTCAGGAATTGGCTGCCATTCTGGAGGGAGAGGATTTTTTTACATGTAAATCTCATCCATTTTGATTAGTGGAAATGTCTCTTGGCAGCCAGTCCAGTCTCATGTCCTATTTCCTACATGAAAATCCAGTTGACTTGGTAAAAGAGTACAAGTGCAAGGATGGAAAGCCCCCAAGCCATGTCCTCCACTGAGAGGGAATCATCGCTAATGAAGCGTATCTCCTAGTATTTGAAGACCAAAAGTTTCAGTCTCTCTTCTCCAGTGTCTTCCTTCCAAAGTTGTGGGAGGGCTTCCTCAGGCAAGAGCGCACACCCATCTCCTTTCACAGCTGCATGGCCCAGCTGTACTCCTGCCAGCTCCTAGGCAGGGAGCAAGGCTTCTTTTCACATCCTATGGCCACTGCTTGGCTATCTGCACCCCACTGCACTATGCGGCCATCATGCCGCAGGCTGTGTGGTTCTGGCTGGTGACAGAGACGAGGCTTGCCTTCTCTCTGTCTCCTTCTCTGCGTGCAATACTCACCTTCCATATGGCATAGTGTAGGTCCAAACACATCTACCACTTTGCTGATGTTCTCTAGTATTTATGTTAGGTCTTACGTGTTAGGTTTTACATGTAGCATCTGAAGGACTTGCCTAGAGCCATTCTGAGAGGCTGAGAGCTGGCAGTGGACATCTGGTTCTCAGGGGTATGTGTGCATGTTCATGGTCACATACACATCAGTTTGTTTGTGTGCATGTGTGCCTGGGGTAATGCACATACAAGCGTGAGTGTGCACAAATAGCTTGTGTTTGGTCACATCTTTCCATGAGTGTGCATGTGTTTTAGAGCATGCACGAGCCTTCATGCAGGTGAGCATGGATGGGTGTGCTGTTGGTCTGCATACATGAAAGTGTGTGGGCATAGATGTCTGTGCGGATATGTGCTTTTATATGTGTAAATCTCTGTACATAGGTGTGCACATAAATCTGTTTGCACATATATCCGTGCAAGGAGTATGCATGTCTGTAAGCATGTGTGCTTGAATATCTGTGTGTACCTGTTAGTACTGGGGGGTGGCTGTACCTGTGTCTCCACCTGGGCTCCTTTGGAAGCATATGTGCACACGCCTCTTTATAAGTGCACACATATGAGTTACTCTTTGGGTATGTACGAATTCACGTGTTTGGTTGTGCCCACGTGTGTGAGATTGCGTGTGCACACATATCGGGGTGTGCGCATGTCTGTGAGTGTGCATACCTCTGTATGTGTATAGGGGGTGTGTGTGTGCACCCATGAGGGTATGTCAAAGGTCTTGCTAAAATCAAGCTACACCCCAGCCAGTGCACCTCCCATTCCCACAGTGCCAGTCACCTCCTCATAGAAAGCAATGAGGTTGGTGAGGCTTCATTTGCCCTCTGAAAACCCATGTGAGCTGCTCCCAAGACCCTTCCTGCCTTTCATGAGTTTAGAGAAGGCTTCTGAGAGTATTTGCTCCATCTTCCTTCTAGGGACTGAGGAGAGACTGCCCAGTCAGCTCCTTTTATACCCCCAGATGCATCCCAAGTGGTCCCATGACCTTGTGTATGTCCACATGTTAGTAAGAACTCCTTAGTTCCCACGTCCCCTTCCTCCCCTGGGTTGTTGCACGGCCGAGGAAGCTCCCTGCACCAGCGTGTCTTGCACAGCACAGAGGTACACGGCACTGTCAGAGACCTCGACTTCCTCCAGCTGCAGGTGGCTGTATTTCCCTGCGGTGTTCAGCAAGGTGGTGAAACGGCCACTCTGCTTGCGACCAGCTGCTGTGTGATATGAAACTAGCTGGGGACCTTGACCTTTCCTCTGCTGGTACCAGAACAAGATGTAAAACCTTGGGGTCTGATAGGTGCAAGTTGTTTGGAAGGTGTCTCTCTGTTTCACTGTGACTTGTCCTTCTTCCTGAGTGACGGCGATCTGTCCCATGGTGCCTGGAAGAAAGTGAAAGTCCGTGGCTTTTCAAGTGGGAAGCAACCCAGGAATGCATTAAAAAAAAATGGTATAGAAGGCTCCCTGTCATTTGCCCTGTGGGAATATCCTGAGGCCTGAGGCATGTGGAGAAGAGTTTTGGGCAACAGCTTGGAGCTCTGGGCACAGTGTAGACCATGAGATGCGCTGTGCTGTATCCCTGCTCCTCTTCCCTTCCCCATCCCACTCATCTCCGAGGGGTCCTAACTCCCTACATACCTGCAATGATGAGCCGAATGGTAGAAAGAAATCCCTGGCTGTGTCAATATCCAGGAGAAATCTGGAAGACACGGTAGACATGTGCCACCCAGAAGGCAGAAAGGGACACCCATTAATGTCAGTGGGATGAGAGCTGTAAGGTCCCTGGAGGAACATTGATAGGTTTTGCTGATTTGCATTGGAAAGGGAGAAATGTGAGAGCGCAGAGAGTGATGTGGTGACAGCAAGTGGATCAGAAGAGAAAGGCAGAGAGAAATGGATTGGAGGTGAGAGAGAAAAGCAGGAGAAAGGGTCTGAGGTATCTCTTCTCTCTCTTTTCTTTTCATTTCTAAAAGTAAGAGCATCTTGAGAGAACTGGTGCAAACCTGCAAAGTTGAGATGTTATTTCCCAGCGTTTCCAAGAGTAGATCGTGGCATGGTCCTGATAATGCTGGCAAGGGTTTCCTTGGGAGAAGTATGTGTTGATGAAAAGCCAGGACTTACCCAGCAGTTGCCCGAGGCAGGCCGTGAGGACGAGAAAACCAAGGTGCATGTTGAGACCAACCTGCCTGTTGGTCGAGTGAGACAGAGTCAAAAAAACACCTCCCAGCCCCGACAGAACAGAGCTGCCGGAAACAACTCTATTGGGGGAGCAAAGGAAGAAGCGGGTAAGAGCAGTGATGTGTTCTTCCTGTGCCTGAAATGAACTCCTCCTGGGTTTCTCCCTCCTCCAGCAGCAACACCTGGGGCTCCCTCAGCCAGTGGCCTTCTCAGCCTTTCCCCATTAAGAGTGCCTGGGCACTCTTGGGGCTGCAGTGTTGGGAAGGGGCTGTTGCCAGTCAGCTCACAGTGGAGTCCTCACTTCCCCAGCTAGAATCACCTGCTCTTCTGCACATCCACTGCTGGTCATTTGGGGGGTCAGGGGTTTCTTCCGCAGTGAGGCTTCACATCTTTCCTTGGGGTCCTCAGCTATCTGAGGCTGTTGCTATTTCTTTTGGGAACAGAAGTCTCTCCACTTCCTGACAGCAAGACGCATGAGCCCTCTGACACCTTCTTCCATCTCCACTTGCTGGCACCCAGACCTTGCTCACACCCCAGTCCCTCCAGCTGCTGGCACAGAGATCGACCCATCTGGTCACCACAGGCCTCTTCTCCCCTTGCTGGCACTGAGACCTTGCCGCACACACCCTGCTCCATCCCATTGCTGGCACCCAGGCCTACAATCCCCATGGCCATTGGTTGTTTGCCCAGTTACTGGCACCAGATCTCTCTTTCACATCACTCGCTCCATTTCCTGACACTCAGACCTTGCAGCACTCGCATGTGGGAAAGGGAGTGAAGATACACAGAAGGACGGTTAAGAAAGGATTTCGGAAGAAGGCAGGGGGGACTGTGGAGATCAGGCACAGCGCTCATCCCAAGCGCACTGACCAGCTCCTGCTTAGCTGCACATACCTCCTCTTATCCTTCCTCCTCTCTGTTGCCTCCCCTTGCTCCTCCCC